AGGAGGAACTTCCTCCTACTGAGAGGAATGAAACAACACCACCATCACCCAAGAGACACAAACCATCACCATCACCAGTTGAGATTCCTTTAGGAGACGGTGTTTTGAAACCTTCCTCCAAAGGTGAGCTCTGTACACATTTCTCTTCTCTCGTAGATGCATGTATACGTATATATTTATATAGGATTCAGAGTTTTAGAGTGGAATTCCAGCAACACTGTTCCAGATCCTTTCAGTTACAAATCTGTCTTTCTGATCACCTGAAGGTAAAGCTGCCCAGAAGAAGAGGACACCCTGGCAGCAAACAGAGGTGCAGGCAGTGGAAAAGCACATGACTCAGTTCATTACATCGTGCATTTTACCAACAAAGCGTGAGTGTGAAAAATGTTCGAGGGCTGAACCAGAAGCACTTTAGAACAGGGACTGGCAGAACCTGAAATTTTATGTTTACAACCGCATTACAGCCTACAAGAGGAAAATGCAGTCTCCGTAGTGTGAGTATTGCAGTTTGTTTACAATTACTTAGACCAATAGAGGTCTTAAAGTTTTATGTACAAGTTTTATGTTTTTAAAACTTGGTAAACTGGGTGCCAGTGTTCATTTGACTTCACATGTTTTTATATGCAATTGAAGTCATTAAAAGTTCTGCAATTCAAACCTGAGTCTAATGATTTCAAGTTCAATTAGTAATTAGTGGTAGTTTTCATTATAGTGGGTGTAAGTGTCATGTCATTGTGTAAAAGTGGATTATAAAAATATTTGTGAGTGTGTTTATTATAAAAGCCAAAAAAAGTCAACAGTTTGGGGTTTACAACCGCATTACGAGCTACAAGAGGAAAATGCACTCGACATAGTGTGAGTATTGCAGTTACAATTACTTAGACCAATAGAGGTCTTAATGTTTTATGTACAAGTTTTATGTTTTTAAAACTTGGTAAACTGGGTGCCAGTGTTCATTTGACTTCACATGTTTTTATATGCAATTGAAGTCATTAAAAGTTCTGCAATTCAAACCTGAGTCTAATGATTTCAAGTTCAATTAGTAATTAGTGGTAGTTTTCATTATAGTGGGTGTAAGTGTCATGTCATTGTGTAAAAGTGGATTATAAAAATATGTGAGTGTGTTAGAATAATAATAAATACTAGCTCTAACAGTGTTGTGAGTGTGTTTATTATAATAATAAATACTAGCTCTAACAGTGGAAATATGGGCTGAAAAATATTTCAAGTGTGTTTAGGCTAACTGATTTTTTTTTTTTTTTTTACATGTACTTGATTTTTTTTCGGCGCTCTAGGACCTTTAGAAAGGGTGGTCCTTTAAAAGGATGATCAAAAAGTTGGTCCCCAAGTCCCATGGAAACCCGTATGTGTGTTTTGGTTCATCCGCTTTCTCCGCTGTCAGATTAAGGACCGCGCCTTCTCTACTCTTTTAAATTGTCTAATACGCATCTGCCCGCTCTGTGGCGCACAACCACCCGACATCTCAGTCACGTCCCGCTGCCTTTACTGACGTGTTTTTCCGCATTTCCTGCACAAGAGACGGAGGAGACGAGGAGGAGGAAGCGGCAAGAGGTATGTCCAATGATGGAAGTTCATTTCGGCAGCCGGACACCATAACAGGCCCTGCATGCTGAGCGCAGCTAGGCTACACATCGCCTATTTCTGCCCCTCTGCCGGCTTCTCTCCTTGTGTACAGCTCTCCCATCGCCGATGCGCCGCCACAGAGCTCCTCCAACCCCCCCTCCTTTCCCCTCCACACACATACACACAAACGGTGCAATGCAGCTGCAGGCTTGTGCTTCAACGTTGTCCTCACACAGCTGACGGACTCTATGAAAAACTGAAAATAAAGTCCTGACTGAACGTCTCACTCCCTTTTGTATGTATCGTGGTCTAACTGTCAGTTTTCCTCGCTGCGCCTCTGAAGACGCTCCCCAGGTCAGGGGACCCGTCCTTGCTGCTGCTGCTGCTGCGCATTATTTGTTATTGTCAGTGGGATTTCTTATGCGTATCGGGCCAGAGTAAACGTGTTTCCTCTGGCGTGAGTGGCGTTTGTTACTCAGCTGGGAGGGAAACAGTGGAACCACCGGTTGAGCTGAGCCGTTATTCTCGCCAAAGGAGCGCAACGAGTTTGTTTAGGAGGAGAAAACAGGACGCGAGGAGCTTAAAGAGGTGAGGTGTAAACAAGCCGACGACATGGTAGTCTTTAACGGGCAACTAAAGATCAAAATCTGCCAGGCTGTCAACCTCAAGCCCACCGCCTGGTTCTTGCGTCACGCCGTCGGTCCAAAGACCCAGACCTTACTCCTGGACACGTACGTCGCCCTTAACGTAGACGACTCGCGCGTGGGCCAGACCTCCACCAAGCAGAGGACCAACAGTCCTACGTGGAACGACGAGTTTACCACCGAGGTTCACGAGGGCCGCAAGATAGAATTGTCTGTCTTCCACGATGCACCCATTGGCTATGACGACTTCGTGGCCAACTGCATCATCCAGCTGGAGGACATCCTGCACAGCGACAGCAAGCACTTCGAAGACTGGGTGAGCTTTTATGACACAGATACACGCAACTCTCAAACTCGTACACATGTATTTGTATGCAAATTTAACAACACGGCACATTGGAGTATTTATTTACCAGTTTTGTGGGAGTACCAGGGAACTTTGTGGTCTGGTACATGGGGTGGAGCTTGACATATTACTATCCATTGAGGGCATGGAGCCACCTGATTGCAAAAGCGATGAATCCAGTTCAATATTTTTGTACTGATTTTAGAAGACATTTTTCAAACAGACTAACTCTGATCCAAGTCGGGAGTGTCAAACATACGGCGCGTGGCCCAAAACCGACCCGCTAGGATGTTCAATCCGGCCACTTGATGAATAAGAAAAATACATGCACTCTTAATGTTTAGGATATTATTTGTAAATTTATATTTCATTAGATATGAATAAATAACAATTAACATCTAATATACTTGTACTTATTGTTATTTGTAGTTAATTATGTTATAATTGTACTTGTTCGGCCCACTTGACATTAAATTAGGTTGCATGTGGCCCGAACCAAAATGAGTTTGACACCCCTGTAGGTGCTGTCAGTTAGATACACCACTTCACCTGTCTGCCCTACAGTCTCTGACCCAATAATGACCCCAGATCCCTACCATCTACATTTACAAAACTCCTGGCACTCTTACATCGTAAGAGTAGGTTTCTTGAAGACGTTAACCATAAGCAGTAACATAAACTGCTGTCAGAACTAGCAAATTATTGATTAGTAAACCATCAGTGTTTCTCGACAAGTAATGAAATACAGTAGAAAAAGTCATGGAATTAACTTTATGCATATTATCTACTTTATGCCTTTAATTGCTGTTTGTTTTCCTTCTTCTTTATTTCCTTCCTGGGCACAAGAGATTTTAGTCCATTTGAATATTGGATATTTCTGAGTGGCGCTTTGGACCCAGAGGGTCTCTGTCATTGGTGTGGAACCCCAGGGTTCACCTCCTGGGCAAGATCCTGGTTAGGGCGGTTGGCGCCTTCCAGTGGACTCACCACCCGCAGGAAGGTTCAGGGGGGTTGGTACGGTGCAGTGTGATTTGGGTGGCAGTCATGCAGACTGCTACCCCCTCGACCCGGTAACAGATAAGAGGACGAAAATGGATGGATGGATGGATGGATGGATATTATAACTCCAGTCCTCCAGAGGACTTACAACATTTTTAAGATGAATGCTTTTTATTAATTAGAAAAAAACAAGTTAGAACTATTTTGGTATAAGAACAGGGAATGTTACCCCATTTTTTCTTTTCCCTTTGGGGCTCCGTTGACAAGCGGTGCCCTTAGCATTTGCCAGACTGCTGATGCCACTTTATGGTCAATTTTTTAAGTGTGTTCTTTGTGTAGCACACAAAGCTGTAAACCAAAAAAAGAGTCATTATAAAGTCAGAAAGAAAATATATAGGGTATGTTCATAAGAAGGGATGCTACCCTGTGTCATTGTTTTTTCCCTTTTTCAGTATTCCTTTATTATACATGCTTAGTATGGCTCCTGTAAGAGAAAATGTACTACTCAAACATATGGCCTGTGGGCAAAAACTCGGGTTAGGGGCTTCAATCTGGCCCGATTAATTTTGAATTATGTAGTATAGTCATTGTCAGTGGAGCCTACAGCTGTGTCATGGTATTTGATCTCTAAGAACTCTGCTCTGCTCACCAGTAAATATTCAGATTCTCTGTGTTTGTAATTTTGAACACATGTGAGGCCCAAATGCAGTTTTTCATTATGGAGTCCCCCTGAGGAGAGAAGATGTTTAATCCATGTAGAGGAAAGAGTTAACTAGATTATTTTACTCTGTAACTGTGTGAAAGTGTGACATTCATAATTTCCCTTGAAGTCATGTGTTATATCAGCAGAATGTCTCACTTTGACAGTAGTTGATATCTCAGGTGAATGACTTAATGTTACTGCCCATACAATATTGTTTAAAAGAAACTCCTGTATTTTGGATAGAAATCAGTGCAGTAGAGCTCATACATTTGGCTTTGATTACACAGCTGTAGCTACAAACACAAACACACACACACACAAACTCAATCTACATTTAACATTCTATTGGCTTTTTACTTAGTCATGTCTGTGTGATTCTTTTTCAACCATTGTTAACTTTGAAAGTCGCTTCGAAATGTGTCTCCTCACTTCGGTGTCATAACATCTAAGAGTTTCATCATCTACCATTGTTTTTTTTTTTTTGTTTTTAATTTATGGATTTTTACAGGCTAATACGCTATCACCAAGTTCTGCTTTCAACACGTCATGTCATATGCTGTGAAAATGTATATAATCTATGATCACATAATCTCTAAACACAATCTTTGAAACAAGTTTTTTTTGTTTTTTCAGATTTTGCCATAGTAGTTCCTCTATGAACATGTCTTGACATAATCTCTGATATGCATGATGACACTCTGACAAAGAAGAATTTGACATCACCCTGTAATCAACTGACAATTGTATTCATTTTTGCCAAGTACAAGCAGAAGCCTGTACTAAAGAAATGAAATTCAGAAAAACATGAAGAAAACAAACTGGCTTCTGTTCTTCTAAAACGTATCCTTCCCACAAACCTTAACAAGATAAAATACTTCAAGGAAAATATGGTAATTTGCGGGCTATAAATCGCTACATTTTTCACTCACATTAAGCCCTGTGGCTTAAACAATGATGCAGCTAATTTATGGATTTTTACAGGCTAATGAAGTTCATACCGCTAGCGATCGATAATTTTTCTGGTAGGCTACAGTGTGTTATACTTTTTCTGGTAGGCTACAGTGCGTTATACTAGTAGTGTATGTCTGTTTGTGAATGGCTGTGTGTGAAAGTGGAGAGCAGTTTGAGCCCTGTCATGTTAGAGCGTAAGTTGGTTATACAGGAGCTGTTAAAACGTAACCAGCCGTGTTACAGGCACTGTTTGGAAAAAAACATTTATTTAATTAAAAGTGAAAAATAAATATTTCTGTGTAAATATCCCATGTTACAATGTGGGCACCGTTATAGAGAAGTGTGGCCGATATATGCACAAATATTTGTTTATTTTTAAATTTAGTGGGTACGGATTATATTCAGGTGCGCTTAATTGTCCGGGAATTACGGTACTTTAGTTAGGCAGGTTAGAATGATTTGAACAAGCAGTATTTCTGTCCATGGAAGAAGGGAGAATTGCATTTAAGGTTAATATTGTCTCTATAAATAGAAATCACATGAGTCTGGATGTGTAAATAATCTAGGTAGTAAAGGAAAAATACAGAGTAGTTTTGCAGTTTTGATGAGTAATTTAGTTGCAACATGAGTGAGAAGGGCTGTGTTCTGCTAGGTCTCTTTTATATTTGTTCTGTTGTTAAGCCATAAGGTGTAGAATGAACATGTAGTTACTTTTTTAGTGGTCTTTTAATGTTTGAACGTTACTTTAAAGCAGTGGTTCTCAATTATTTTTTGCCATGCCCCCCCTACCCTCCCCCCTTTGGGGAGAAAAATGTTTTCACGAAACCCCCCACCCCGCCTAGTGACTGTAGGCTTGTTATCATTCAAGCATTACAGCAATGGTACACTTATATCAGCGTGCCATATTCCATTGGAAGCCTCTCTTGCCCCCTGGGCACCTCACCGCGCCCCCTCCAGGGGGCCCGCCCCACTAAAGTATTAAGATAGCAAACATCAGTTCACTGGAAGAGTCAGTGCAAGAACAGATATTAAATACCAAGGTGGTGACAAGCCTCCTTTAAAATAAACAACACACCTGAAACTGAAAGGGAAATGTTATGCAAGTTTGTACAAGAACTGTCAACGGTTTTTATAAAAAAAAAAAACATGCACACCCACAGAAAATTCCCACCTCAGAAACCTCACGCAGGTGGTAAGAGCAATTCGCTGTTTGTGGTGGGAAGAGGGATTTCCTGAATATCTTCAAATTTAACTAAGCGGAAAATACAGACCAATAATATACAAAGCAAATTGACGCATCAGAACTTTACTACAGAAATGCAGTGTATTATATATTCAGTAAATATTCAGATACTTTATTATATTTATGTATTGAAATGAAAGTACGGTACAAACGGTTCTCTTACAAAATAACCTAGAGAACTGTTTAACCCTCCTGTAGGAACCATGAATGTGTTTTTCTTTTGGTTAAAGTGTTGCTTATTCTGAGTATGATTTAGTCTATGAGTATCATACTCCTATTATTTGTAGGGGGTCACATACGTAATTATAAGTGGGATCCAGCACCTGTGTTCACCTATTGCTCTCTTGTTTGAGAGAGAGGAAGGGAGAGGGTGAGCATATATTTTGTTGACTGCTAATTTCAGTTGTTTTTCATTGTTCAGTGGGATTGTTTTGATTTAGTAGTGAACTGTATTAAGCAACCTTTTATGTGTGGTTAATAAATATTTAGATACTCTCAAATCCCAGTGAATTTTTTTTGGTAGCATGTCTGACAACTGGGCCCATTTTCAGCCTCTCAACGGCTTCAAAACTTGATACACCTCTCGTTGTCCTTCGCATTTTGTACAGACCCAGCATCCTCGCAACAGGTTAATAGGAGAGTGATCGTTGTATTTTATTTGCCACTTTTATGCTGCTTTCCCATCGCTTTACAGTCAGAGAGAGCTTCTCAGTAATATGGGATCTGTCGTACCTTACCAGGATGAGGAATGAGCAGGTCTGGGACAGTTACGGTAGATAGAGAGGTGAGGTTGAGATGATTTGGTCAGAGGAAGACTTCGGAGAAGAGAAATAGTTGGTGTAAAACCAAACCAATAAAATCTAACATGCACCTTTTCTTACTCTATGACCTACTATCCTTATGATATACTTATGACATATTATATGACATACTGTTATGAGATATTATGAGACTTACTACTTCTATGACTATACCTGTATTTTTACTATTTATTATTATTTATTACTATTCATTATTATTTATTAACTATGCATTTCTGTGTTTTGTATGTTTACTGTAGCTTGAGTGTTGATTGACTGATTCGAATTGTAAGTCAGTTGGATAAAAGTATCTGCTAAATGTATTGTATGTAATGTAAAAGCAGAGGAGGCAAAAAAATGGGTGAGATGAAGTTGCAGTAGCAGTAGTATTTGCTGTGGGAAAAAAAATCATGGCAGTGCGTTTGTACGCAGTTTGAAACATAAAAAGTTTGAACGAAAAAAAAAAAACTTCTCTCACCTTAAAAGAAAGGGCTGATTCAATGTATTAGTGCAGTGTTTCCCAAACGTTTTGTCTAGGGACCCATATTTTAAAAGTCACAAACTTTCACGACCCAAGTCAATAGACATAGGAGTAAACTCCTGGGAAACATGTGAGACAACCCCCAAAAAAGTTTCTTGCAACCCACCTGAGGGCCGCAACCTAGTCTTTGGGAAACAATATATTATTGTGTCATTGTGATTCCAATTTAAACAATAATACAACAATAAAACAACAACAAAACATTTTAATAGAGTAGAATCACTTGACCAAAGTCATGTTTAGATGTAGCATTATTAATAAGTTATTACATTGCCTAAACAAAGCTAAATTCGATTGAGGGAATACATCATATTTTTTGCACCTTGTTGTCTGAAAGCACAGTTTTTGTTGTTTTCCTCTTGGATCTGTAAATGCTCACACAGAAAATTGGGAGGAGCTCTAGCCTCATGACTTCTTGACCCTATTTCCCTGTGGGAGGGAGTAGAGGGGGCGTCATCCTTGTGGAGTGAAGGAAACCGGGGAAGGGCAGTGTGTACACATACGCGTGTATCTCAGTGAGTGTGTTTTCTAGGCGCTACTTCCTGTTTTCACTGTCCAAGCTCTCTTCTGGGCATGTGAAGTGAAGAGAGGGAGAGCTCCTTGAGTGCACCCCTCCTCTCGCTTCTCTGTTATCATTCATTTAGCTGCTGCCTCCTCCGTGTGCAGTGTGAAACAAACAGTCTTACAGATATGTGAGGAATGAAAGAGGAAGAAACAATTGGCGACTGCTACTTCTGCTGCATAAACAAAATCCTACACTACAAAAGAAAATTAGACCATGGCTTTGCACGGTTACTTCAGTGCGCACAGTTTGTTTACAGAAATGATTAAGCAAATCCTAAATATAGCCTCAAGTTTTTGTCATTCCTGAAATTCTGACGAGAATTCCGTGTTATTTTTGCACTGCCTCCCATTTCTTCCTGTGCTTTCCGGTGTACCATTGTTTTCCATCCTTATTTAGGCACCACATCTTCTAAGCTCATGGTAAGTACAGTCAAGTTTAATTCTAAAAACAGACATGCATCACACAGAACAGCCAGCCAAACGTGCAATCATTTCAGTGGAGTTAGCCTCTGTCAGCGTATCGAATGACATAAATTTAAACATAACATAAATTTAAATAGTTTAGCCTCATTTGAATTTTTATCTCAATATTCTATACACCTGCACAGCTAAGGTCTCAAACTCAAATCAACCTGGGGCCACTACTGTCCCTGCCATCTCATTTAGGGCCGAAAATTAACAGTTCGCATTACATTATACACATTACATTATCGATGGTTTACAACGTTGATCTATTCCCTCATTTCCTCCATTTTATACATTTATTAAGTCTTGTTCTCTTATTTTGACAAGGCAAAGACTCTGACCACCAGATCTCTTTGTCTTCCTTTCTCTGCCCAGAAGACATACCTAGCACCTTCCTACCTGTCTCCCTAACCCACTGCCTGTCCTTCCAAGTTTCTATCCCTAACACCAAACCTGCCAATCACTTCCTCATCACCTCTGTTCCTTTCCCCTACATGACCATTAAAGTGTGCTCCAATCACCACTCTCTCTCCCCTGGGGATACTCTCTATCACCCAATCCAGCTCATTCCAGAACTTCTCCTTTTCTTCCAACTGACAGCCTACCCGTGGGGCATAACCACTGACAACATTCATCATCTCTGCTTCTATTTCTACCTTCTACCATCATCCTGTCTGACTCTCGTTTCACCTCCACCGCATTTCTTGCATATTCTTCCTTCAGGATCACCCCTACTCCATTTCTCTTCCCATCTGAACCATAAACTACAAACTAACATATCACCTAAACACGGTAAACTAACCTGTCTGTGTCAGGTTTCTCTGTCTGTTTTTAGCATGACTATACCAGAACTGGCATATTCAATGTTTTTGTCTAATCATTTTTAATAACTGCAGGCACACCCCCCACAACAACGGCAGCATCCATCAGATACACCTGGATCTTAGATCGATGTTAAGCATCTTTTATCAAACGAACACTATATTTTTCAACTTATTTCATTTCTGCTTTTTTTTTCTTTTCTTAAAGCAGACAGCCATTTGTGTTTAAGAGGAAACGATCTAAGTTAATAGTGCTGAGCTCATGGTTTATCTCACTCTGTGGGAGGACTTGCACAGAGCGAAATTATGATACCTGTCAATTATGATAACATGATGAAAATATGTATCTAAACATTCTTCAACGGTTCTTGTGCTGATATTACTGGTTGACATATTTACATATTTTCGGAAATTGTGAGCTATGATATTAATATACACGTACGCATATACACGTGATGCAAAACGCAGTTAGTACAGGAAGTCGAAGGACCCCATATAGTGACATCTAGCTGTGGGTTGCATGTAGGTGGTTTGTAAGCCTTAAGTGGTCCGCGGATCGAAAGTCTGAGACCCCCCTGACTCCATTTAAATGAAGTCACATGGCTACAGCTGCCACTCATGTGATACTGTAAAAGGTCTGTGTGTATGTGTATGCATGTGTAGTGGTACAGACTAAAAAGTGAAACTCATTAGGCCACAAGTGGCATTGATAATGAAATCTTTGCATTTTTGTGTACAAACAGACCTGCAGATGGTTGACGATGATCATGTCATGTCATCTGACCATGGAAACTGATGGCCTTGTTCTCATGGTCATCACTGAAACCACGAGATAAACAACACACACGAAGATTATGCACACAACCGTAACTTTAGCATGTTGCTACATAACAGAATAAAGTGAAGGGGCTTTAAATATACTTTTCTGAAGACACTATATTTGTACCTGTGCCTGACATCAGGATCACCCAGCAAAAGCCTGGCACTATCATGTTCAGATACTGCACTTAACTTACTGTATGTCGTGATGTCAACTGAAAAAGCACAAATAACAGATTTTACCGAGGCTCAGAAAAGGTATTTTAATTACTCTTGTGCTAAAAATAAACAACAATGAAGAGATAAGTCATGTTTTAATTAGAATGTGATCACATACAAAAGTGTCGTTGAGTACTGGACCACCTTATAGTACTACACAACACTGTAGCAAAAGCTGCCAGTGATTGATTATGACATTCTGCATTCTTCATTTGTCCCTTCGCAGTAGCTACTTCCTTCCTCTCTGCCTCTAGAAAATGTAGATAAATGGGAGTCCTTATCTGATTGCAACTCAAAATGTTTCTAATCTGCTGATTACGCTGCTGAGGACACATGACCGCGACACGTGATTTGTCACAGAACAAGCAGTGCACGCACGAATAGAAAGAGGCACACACAGAGATGAAGTACCAACAAGGCCCCACGCCTGCTTCACTGTTTGAGTGAGCTTACTGCCTTCTTCTGTATATACTACTGAAGTCACACCTTCACCCTGTCTGCCTGTGTGTCTGTTGGTGAGTGGGGTTTTGCAGAGAGGGATTATAGACACTGTGGTTGGTACGAGCTGCAAACTGGGTGAACTCTTGCACTGATGCCCTGTTCATTTGACACACATACAGACGCACACAATACACTCACACTTGATTATACAAACACAGATTGCCTCTCAAAGTAGTGCAGATGCTAATTCAATTGTTTTTGCACAGCTGGGTTTCTCTGTGGTAAATTTAATCAGTCGTACAATAAAAACCTTTGTAGGTTGATGCATGTGTTCCACACCTGTTTTATTTTCTTTGTGTGACTAATTTAAATAATATGGAACAATTTCAATAAATACAATATAAAAATAGAACATTTAGCTTCATAAACTTGGTGTATATTATGCCTGTGCTAAATATGGTAATGGTATAACTGTAGTATAACTACATGGAGGCTTTTGTGCTGCAACCCCCCACCCACATTAATGTAAAAATGAACTGATCTATTCATGTCACATGACCACTGACCAAAAGATAGCAGTGACTCCATGTGAACAAGTTAACTAGATAGACTTTGCCCCTTTATGGTAGCAGTTAAATTCTTTAGGTCACATTGTGTAAAAGTAAAGTACTGTAATTTGTTATGATTAATTTGAATATAGTATGTATAGTTGTTAAATGGGCAGTATTTCTAAATCTCACAAAGTATTGATTTTGGTATACCTTTGTATACCCTTGTATTTATTTCCTCCACCACTTTTGTTTTTTTGATGTGTATTTATTTTATTACCAGTTGTCTTTTTGTGTGTGTTAATTTCTCTGCAGATTGACCTGGAGCCTGAGGGAAAGGTGTACGTAGTTATTGATCTAATAGGATCTTCCAGTGAAGGTAAATCCTAAGCACGGCTTGTAAAAATAACCACTACTTACCATTCAAGGTAAAATGACTTACTTACAACCAAAAACTGTGTGCAAGGTCTGTCTTTCTCCTGCTCGTTTCTGTGTTAATCAGTGTCATCAAACTCACCTGTGTCCCGTGATTACCTTTTCATTTGTCTCATTTGTGATGACTTGATCACTCTATCTATCGCTTTGTTCCTGCGTTCCTCGTTCCTTACTGAGGCCTTCTCCTGCTTATTCCTGGTTTCCAGTGAGGTTGATGAATTTTTCAGACTGAAATTAATTAACTCTTTGCACCTGATCTTGTCTCTGGTGTGCTGCAATTGGGTTCTACCTGTTTCCTAACTTGACAAATCTAACACTGTGCTTCCATCTGACAAATTTCCAACATCTTGCTACGATTGACCTTTTGTGACTTAATATCACAAACATATTATTCAAATTGCCATACATGTCCTTAAATTCAAATTTTTGACATCCAAAAGTGCATATAGAAAAATATAAGTTCTCCTAAGGCAGTGGTTCTCAAATATTTTCTGTCATGCTCCTGCTATATACAGAAAAATATTTTTTTAATGTCATGTTAGGAATGTTAGAGATGTATGGTATTATCGTTATCGTTTTTTTCCTCAGATAATAGCTATATACAGAAAAATATTTTTTTTTATGTCATGTTAGGAATGTTAATATATAGAGATGTATGGTATAATCGTTATCGTTTTTTTCCTCAGATAATGAAAACCTAAAAACACAATGCCTGGGTGTGCCCCTTAATGGCTTTGGGGATAAACGGCTGTGTATTAAATTGAAAGTGACTAGATGGCAACATTGCAGCTCATTTATTTATTCTATTTTAATAATGAGGTGATTCTATGCAGAATGCTGGTGCCAGATTAAATGGATTCAAATGCAATGATTAATTTTTTTTTTTTTTTTGGTTCGGGGTTACTCTCACTAGCATGAATAAGGTATAGGTTTATTTGAAACACTACATAGATCTAGGCTCTACTTGGGATCTAGCAATAAAAATTAGATGGATGAACTGACTATGTTGTGCACGACAGTAGACCAATAACTCAATAATAACTTGTTCACTAATCATTAATAATGAATCTGTAATTAGTTGCAGCCAGACATTGTGTCTGCTGCTGTCTGAACCCAAGCACAGTGTTTGTATGTCTGTGAGAACATATACATTACATTTGTTTTTGATAGATTAGGTATCTGACATATTGTTGAAGGTTTGATACGGTGAGTAGCTGTTTCTGTGTGTATTTGTCCCTGTGTTTTTGCCAAAACGTAAAATTCATCAAGGCATGTGTGGCGTGGATACTTTCTGTGCAAAAACATATCCTAAAAGTATTGAATGTGTGTCCGATGCCTGTAGTTGCAGCAGAACTGACGGAAAATGAGTGTCCGATGCCTATAGTTGCAGCAGAACTGACGGAAAATGAGGAGCGCGTGTTTCGACAGCGGATGGGACCCAGAAAACGTCAGGGTGCCGTCCGCCGTAGAGTCCATCAGGTCAACGGACATAAGTTCATGGCCACATACCTGAAACAGCCCACATACTGCTCACACTGCAGAGACTTTATCTGGTAAGAAAAAAATTGCCAAAATTATGTTCAACAAAAACAGAAAAAATGTGTTCATGTATATGTTCATAGGCCGAACCTGATGTCACACAAATCTTGCCTTTTTATTAATTTTGTTAATGAAGATGTTGTAGTAAGGCTCATCCCAACCATCCTAATGACAAATGTCATTCATTCCTAACAACTTACCAGATGGTATTCTATTTATATTTTCTTCTGTCCTCTAGGGGTGTTTTAGGGAAGCAGGGTTACCAGTGTCAAGGTAGGGCTGTGTTGTTGCGTAACTTATAGTGCTATTTAAAACTCAGCTAGGTTTCCTGCCTAAGTGCTCTCTCTGTGTATGTGTGCGTTTCTCCTGCAGTCTGTACCTGTGTGGTCCATAAGCGCTGCCATGAACTAATCATTACCAAATGTGCAGGACTAAAGAAGCAGGATGACCCAGTGTGGGAGCTTCAGGTCTGCAACTTTGTTTTCTTTTTCTTTTTTTTTTTGTTACCATTGTGTCCTTGGCCTATGCCAAATACTTCAACCTACAGTAGACTGTGTGACACCAAGGAGTGATAGAGGAGCAACAATACAATTTTTTGTTCTTAATAATTTATCTTTGTTCTTTGAAGCAATAGTGAAGGACAATTAACACCTAAAATCTTAGTGTGTATCTTTCTTCCATTCCTGCGGCTATATAATTGTGTTGTTCAACTCAACAGAATCAGATCATAATATTTCAATATTGGGATGTTAAGTAATACAAAATTCCAATCAGATGATTTACAGGGTAGCTGTGGATTCATCAAGATTGATCATGATCATAATTTATCAGATTGTCATTGCTAAATGTGATATAAACCTTTTTTTTTTCTGTATATGTTGAGAGTTGCTCCGCCGAGAACCACCAAGATTCCAAAACTACTAGAACAGCCGTGAACGGTCATTCTGATTGCTGGAATCTGAACTCTATAATAACTCATGATACATTCCAAAATGAAAAATGAATGGATTGATTTTGTTATGAGATCTTCAAAACAACAAAATAACAGAGAATTGTGTTTTTTGACACATTTAATATTACTGTAAATCCACCGCTCATTGCATTTATTCAACGCAGCGCAATCAGTGATAAAACAGTGGTAATGCATGCAGTATAACCATAACAGCAATAACAATAAACACAGATATATTTAAACTATTTACATTGATGTACACCTCCGTTCCTCTCCCTGATTCTCACAGTCAAGACGTGATTTGTTTGTTCTTTTTGTACAGTTACCACACACCGTTTTGTGTCAATTGCAGCAGGTGTCGAAAGATTTGTCTTTGGTTGTAACTTTTCCTAATCTTACATTGCCTGCGTGTACTTTGCCAGCTGCTGCAGGAATTTCCTGCGTCCTTTAGTACTGTCACTGCACTCTTTAAAGTGGACGTCTTCATGTATTCCAGCCAGGTCTAATATGTTATAAAAAACAGCAACTGGCCCTCTCTATCTGATTGAGGATGTCCGTACTTGGTGGTATTGTATTACATCACAGTCCAGCTTTGCTTTCAGTCCGGTAACGCCTCAGGTGTAACATCATTCTCAATAAAGGTCAAAAACTGTAGGAGATGATTGTTGACCACTTTGGGCTGGAATCTTCTTTGTCTTTTGTCTAAAAAAGGTAAAGCCTCTGCTGGATGAGATGATATTTTAAACTCCCTAAGTGTGTGCAAAAAACTCTGTTTCAGAGCAACAAAAAAGTTAATGGACAGTGAAATTACTGGATTTATACAGTGCATTAAAACATGTATTCACAACATCATTACATATACATTTATTGGTGCTTTGCTGTGGGACTTTTCCAATGTGTATGTATTCACATTCACCGTTCATTTCCACAGCCCTGTTCATTACATATACATTTATTGATGCTTTGCTGTGGGACTTTTCCAATGTGAAATATTCGTGTAGGTGTGTCTCACTGTCCATCCCTCTTTTACAGCACGTTGGCTCTCAGAGGTTCAGTGTCAATGTGCCACACAAGTTCACCATTCACAACTTTAAAATTCTCACTTTCTGCGACCACTGTGGCTCTCTGCTGTGGGGTCTGCTGCGACAAGGGCTCCAGTGTAAAGGTAAGGACGATGCACATGCGTGTGATTATTTGAAATACGTCTACCAAATTTTCCGGACTATAAGTCACTCCGGAGAATAACTCGCACCAGCAAAGGACGAAAAAAAAATGCGACTTACAGGAGTAGCAAATTCTGGTACACAAGCCTAGAGAGCCCTCTAGTGGCTGTCAGTTTAAAAATAACAAACATGTGAATTTTTAGTGGTACAGGAGTAGCATACGCTGGTACACAAGCATATAACGCCCTCTAGTGGCTGTCAGTGTGAAAATAACGAATATGTAAATTATCAGTGGTACAGGAGTAGCAGATGCTGGTATACAATCCTTGAGCGCCCTCTAGTGGCTATCAGTTTGAAAATAACAAACATGTGAAATTATATATTTTAATATATAAGTTGCACCTGAGCATAAGTCGCAACTCCAGCCAAAAGATGAAAAAAAAAAGTGACATATAGTCCGGAAAATACGATACTACGGTAATAAACCTTTTATAATTAAAGTCTTATACAAGTTGATCCGAACCCCTGTTTAATGAGTGTGTCTGTGTCCTTGCTTGCATGTGTGTGCACGTCTCAGTTTGTAAAGTTAATGTGCATAGGCGCTGTGAGAATAATGTAGCGCCAACCTGTGGCGTGGATGCTAGGGGCATAGCCAAAGTCCTGTCTGACCTGGGAGTCACTCCAGACAAGATCTCCAACAACACACAGAGACGTAAAAAGGTAACGTGCAAAAGTGCCCATTTTGGTTACCTGTTTTTATATTTTTATTTTTCACATACTTATGGTTAGAATGTTTCTGTAACCTCTAGTATTATAGACAGCTACATTGAATCCAGATTCTACCAAGATTTGGATCTAAATTTCACCATTTGGGGTCCGGTATATAAATTGTTAAACAACTTAAATTTACATTAGGTCAGTTTTGTAAGTGTAAGCCTTAGATAATTTGACCAAATTGTACATTGACAGATAGCAGATTATACCGTTTTTGGTTTTTTTTTCTTTTTTCTTTTTTAACTTTCTTTTTAACTTGCAAAATGCAATACTTTTAAGGAGTCACTGAACAAGTCTGTGGTGATGCTGTCGGCATCATTTCTCATCTAAGATCATTTTATTTAAAAAACAAAACAAAGAAGATACTGACATTGGAAAACAAACAGGCATCTGTTGATGACGTCGTGTTGTTAAACAGCTTTCGCGAGGTCACGACCTCCCACAGCAGTTACCAGGAACCCATCAGACAGACGAGGACTGTTCAAAGTCTGCCCCCACGTCCCCATGTGAACAAGGTAGTTTAAGCTTTAAACACTAATCACCGCCCTTCATAAATTAAACAAAACCGTGCTCACATTTCTTCTGTTTTGTCCAGATGTGAAGGAGCTTGAGAGCTTTCGAAAAGCTCTGTCGTTTGACCACCACGGAGATAAGCATAAAACACATTCCCTGCTACCCACCTCTTCTTTTGCTTCGGGAACAGAGGGCAACCATGCAAGTGCTGAAGATGCGATAAATAGGAACCAAGCAAATGGAGAAGTCAAAGGTCTAGATGCAAAAAGATTGGACCTACAGGATTTTGTCTTTATTAAAGTTTTGGGGAAAGGAAGCTTTGGAAAGGTGAGCTTCTAAGGAGACTCCCTTAAGGAGACTAGATGATGAACAGCATTAACTATTGGAGCTGACTCTCTCTGACTGATTTGTATCATTTGACCAGGTGATGTTGGCAGAACTGAAAGGCAGTGATGAGGTTTACGCCGTCAAAGTGTTAAAGAAGGAAGTGATTCTACAGGACGATGACGTTGACTGCACCCTCACCGAGAAACGGATCCTGGCTTTAGCCAGAAAACATCCATATCTGACCCAGCTCTTCTGCTGCTTCCAGACTAATGTAGGCTAATACACACACTGACGCGGCTATTAGTGTTTGATTATTTTTGTGGACATTTATATTGATTAGGACAGTCTAACTACAGGAACAAGGTTTTGTTGTTTGCTATTGCCTCCAGTAATATTCACGGGGAACATGCAGACAAACGTTTCACCTCCAGGGTGCAGCATAGGGCTAATTTTTAATCTGCAGCTGACAGTGGCGCACATTTTTCTGTGCACCTTCAACTACTGTACTCAACCCTGTTCAGGGTCACCCAGTACCAAGTTATCATTAAAGCCAATGGGCAAATTCTGGACACAGTTTTTGGGCTACAACTTTCTTCCATACAGGGCCCTCCGTTTTACCTCCGTATGAAAAAAAAAAAAGGTCCATACCTAAGTTCTTCAGTGCATCATCCCTGCCATTTTTATAATTTTTTTTTTAATTTGTTGCAGAATACATAAATACATTTTGTCATTGTCATTTAGCCACATGGCTACATATTACGTTTTTATTTAGAAGGTAATTTACTTTTTTTTTTCTTCTTGGTCTACTTTTTTTTATATGTGAATCCATATGTCCCTACATTACATCAATGGTGTACTAAGTGCGGGTGGAGGGGTCCAGCACGGCAAGGACAGTTAAAATGTTTTGATTTTCAGTGTTTGATTCACAGTGTTTTTTAAATTTAATTAATTTTGTTAAGCAGCGGTAGCAGTTCCATAGTGAATATAGTATAAAGAATACATTTAAAAAAAAGTTCAATCGATAATGAAGAAAAAGCTGTAAATGTGTTCAGTTTAGGGTAGAGGCTAAACAATACTCTTATCCACAGTGAGAGAGTGTGACACTGAGAAAAAGCGTTAGTTAACTGCTGCAGCAAGTGGACCTTGACATACAGAAGGAAAGAGGGCAGACCATGGAATGTTTCTTCTGTTTCATGTTGCATAAGTGTCCTTGTTTGGAATGTAGAGGGCCTCTGCACAGGCACAGTACTGCATAGACTGTGTGAATGTATGTTCCAAGTTGAATTGTTGTTCCAAGTTGGAACTGGAGCCACAATTTACAGGTGTTAACTGTGGTTCCACAAAACACCAAGTGCTTATAGTTTGTCAGCCAAACTTAAACTTCAGCGACATTGAGGACTGGTTACATAGTGTAGACTTGTAAGCAGAGAGTCCTGGATTTGATTTTCACACCCTAATGCAGTGGTTCTCAATTATTTTCATCATGTGCATTCATGGCCAATTCATGGGCTATCAGAAAGACTAGATATCTCTCACACATTAATGAAAGATATTAGACAGACACATCTTTCTCCCTCTCTTTTTCTATCTCTCTCTTTCTTTCTTTTTTCTCTCTCTCTGTGTTATCCTCCCTTGTACGCCACTTCACTCACTCACTTGCCTCTTGCTACCGGTATACCGAACAAGCCCAGTGTCCGACCAACCTAATCCCCTAGTGAGCATGTTTTTAGCAAGCCATTACCCTTCACATATTATAACTAGAGGAAAAACTGAGAATGATATTCACGCTGAAGAGTAAATCACAGATTCACGTGACCTCAAAAAGCCCGATGATTGGCCACTTGGAGAAATATGAACTTTACACTAGTTTAATCTCTACCACATTGTCTGTATTCCTCTGTGCCTGACAATTTTTCTGTCAATTTTGTCATAGATTAGAGTTGTAGTAATAATGCAAAGTTTAAAGTTGGGTGCGGAGGAGAAGCCGCAAAGTGTGCAAGCTGCAGATCTTTCAATGTATTCGTTTTCACAGATATATACACAGGAACCCATGGTATGCTGGGATTGCTTCTCTTACATAACTGCTTTGTTTCTTAGTGCAGACATAACATGCAACTCCCACCCTTAACAATTCGAACCACCCCAAACGTCAAAATACATCCCTGTCACTCTTGTCGTAATGTAAACTCTAAATGTACAATGAATGTTGTACTCCTGTTCTTTTTAATCTCCTGCAGCTTTTTCCTTTCAGCCTAATTACCTACAAGTAATGTAAATAGCCTTACGTAACAGCAGCAGTGTCGCACTCACTCAGAGGATACGTGTGAATGAAACTGGTTGACAGTAAAAGAAAGAGATGAAGGTTGGGTAATAAGGAGGATGAAGGAGTGACAAAGGGAAACAGTAATAGCTCATTTTAAACTGTCGATCACAGTTTGTTCTTATCTTAATGTTAAAAAAAAAATTTCCCCAGGGGAATAGATTATAGCAAAATTGTAAATGGTTTATAGGCTTTGTTGAATAATGCACAGGAACACCGAGTCCTGAACCCTGACATGAGCTGCTATTGAAATAACCCGATATTGATATACAAAAAGAGAGAGACTCTATCTATAGCTTTACGAGTGTCTTTCTTCAATTCCTGTTGTGTTCAACTAAACATGCTGAGGTTTAGCATTGAGTAAGTCAATTATGAAAAACTTAAAACAAGATGATCATTATATTATTCAATAATTCTTTTCACATACTTTCTGTGACATTTTTGCTTGGCCTTTTTTTTAATGTAAAATAAGCCCCATAGCTCAAATAAGGTTGGGAAGCACTGCTCTAGGTCAAAGGCATGTAATTCCTCTTTCCC